AATTTTTTACTAAATGACCTAATACTTTCAAAGAAATAAAAGCAAAGGGATATAAACGTGGAAAAAACTACAGTATAACAATTCTCAGGACTAGTCCAGAGGCTAGAAAATGTCATCTTCAGCACTGCGTGGATCATAACAAAGTAAGGCTAAAACTGAGGCAAATGAGGATTCCAGAACGCAGAATTGTGCCTATATGAAAGCTATCCCTAGAGAAAAAGCTGTTGTCTTAACAGAACAAGGGAAAACACTCCTTGGTTCAAAACTAAGAAAGGCACACGTCAGGGATATCCTCTTCATACCTGTTCAACTTGTATGTTGAACCAAACAATTGAGAAGCTTGACATTATGAAGAAGAATATGGTATCAGGATTGAAGAAAATTCATCAACAATCTGTGTTATGCAGATGATACAAACTTGCTTGCTGAAATTCAGAATCTGAAACAAGTGTGGCAGAACAACAACGATCATAGCTTGTAATATGGATCACATGTCAACATCAAGATAACAAAGAACCTTACCACTGGACCAATAGGCAGTATCACAATAGATGGAGAAAAGGTTGAAGTTGTCAATGATTTAATTTCTTAGATCCACAATCAACTCTATTGGTACAAGCAGTCAAGAAATCAAAAGACATATTTCATTGTGACAGTCTGCAGTCAGGACCTCTCCAAAGTACTAAAATGCAAGAATGTCATCTTAAAGACTAAGGTTTGCCTGATTCAAGCCATGGTCTTTTCAATCCTTGCTATACATCAGAGAGCTGGACAATGAATACGGATGAAAGAATGTGGCTTTAAGTTGTTTTGGAGAAGAGTGCAAGTTGTCCAATGGACTGCCAAAAGAACAAACACATGTAACTTGGAATGTTCCTTGGAGGCAAGAATGGTGAAGCGTTGTCTCACATACATTGGGCATGTTGTTGTTGTGTACCATCGAGTCACTTGCGACTCATATTGACCCTATGTAGAACAACCCTAAACTCCTGCTCTATCCTGTGCCAACCTTATTGTCTCTAACTCACCTACCCCCCACCACCCCAGTGACTAAATCAATCCATCTCTTTGAGAGTATCCCTCTCTTGTACTGTCCCTACACCCTCCCAAGCATTATGTCCTTCTCCAAGGATTGGTCCCTTCTAACAACGTGCCCAAAGTATGTCCCTAGCAACAGACTTTCCCAATGCAATTAATAATTTAATTTCCTGGCTGCTGGTGCCCAGAGTGTTGATTGTGGAGCCAAGCAAACTAAAAGCAGTCTCAATCTGTTCACCATCTATTATGATGCTGTCAATTGGCCCAGTGATGAGAATCTTTAGCATGTTGTTAGGTGGGGCTATTCCTTGGAAAAGGGCATAATGCTTGGAAAGGTAGAGATTAGCAAAAGAAAGGACCCTCAATAAAATGGATTGACATGGTGGCTACAGCAATGGGATCAAGGATATCAAAGACGATAATAACGGCATAGGATAAGACAGAATTCAGATCTGTTGTTCATTGATCGCTGAGTCGTACTCGACTCAACAGCCCTTAAAAACAACCAAAGCAACAACAGAAGCACATTGACCACTGGAGCTCTCATCAGACCTGGTGTGTATGGAGTTGCACCAAACCAAAGGCACGTGGTTTGTATCAACCATCTCCTCTACAAGGGGAAGATGGGCACTCTCCTTCCATGTGATTTACAGTCTCTGAAAACCTCCTGGAAGGTCAGCTATAAATCTGTTCCAACTCAACAGCATATAAGGACAACACTTATTGATCAAATGGGTAACATGTTAGTTACCCTAACTTTTCAAAACTCTACTTCTCCTGACACTGCAGTTTCTCCTCCTGTAAATTAGATGTTACCACGTGCCTCTTTTTTTTTTTTTTTAAGGAATAAATCTGATGACGTGTAAGGATGCATTTCATAGCCCTAAAGGGTTAACACCAATAGTGTTCCATGACTATGAAACACAGCTCTGCTGCTTTCGTGGTACAATCTGGGGCAAATAAATAGGCAGGGTGTTTTCCAAGTCTGTTACAGTAAGATATTGGTACCCATATCATAGGGTGTTTGGGGGATTCAACGATATTATACATCAAAATACAGAAAACCCTCAAAATGTGAACGATCCATATTGTCCCTTTGAGACCCACAAACTACGAACAGGCAAGGGCTTCGCTGCTTTTCTGGACCCAAAGGTGCTTAACAGACAGTTGGTGAACACTGAGTAAACTGTAAAGTCTATTAACACTTTGGACTACAATGTTGTTCTTTTTCTCCCCATACTCTGCTGTGACATTTATAAGAAAGCATATTCTCTCTCTTTTAATATATGGTCTTTCTTAGAAAGGTTCTGAAATTGTATGACCACCATATTAATTTCCTCCAGAAACTTTAAGGACGTTGCAGGTTAATTCTCTGGCAGCTGTATTCCCAGCAGATTGAGTAGCTCTCACTAACAGGCTGCGCAGGACGCCCGCCTTTTATAGAGACGTGATGGCGTCATCACGCATCGCGCATGCGCGATAGTATTGTATTGGTTACGCCCAGACGTGCGCAGAGACCCTGGACCCCTTGTTTTTAGGGACCCTTCACCGAAGAGTCCTGAGCCAGGCTTGGTGAGTTAAGTCCGGTCCTGGCGGAGTTCTGGGCTCCCAGTGTCTGTGGCGGCCAGGTGCCCGCAGGGCGGGAAGGAAGGATGTTATTTCAGGGTAAGAGTTGGGGTAGTGAAGGAAGTTCACCTTCCGATTCTTAAGCCAGAGGTCGGAGGTCGCTGAAATCCGACACAGACTCTACGGACCTGGATTCAATGGGCAGAATTTGTTTTGAAGCTCATCTGAAGTGTCGGTGGCATGGCAACAGGGGAGAAAAGTTATCATGACTTAGTTTCCTGAATTTCCCTGACGTTTAGTTACCTCCCTGTAAAAGGAAGGCAGCGAGTATTGGCTGGCGTGGATCTTAGCTGCAAATACATGCAAATACCTTAGCCTGGCAGTTGCTGTCCACGGTGCTGAATAAATGTGTCAGTGCTGGACGATCACATAGTGAGGACAGTTGTATTTAATTTTCATGTTTAGGAAAACGAGTGCGTAATATCAGAAAAGGCTCTTCATTCTGGGTAGGAACTTCACTCTCTCCTGGCTGTTTTTTCCATTTAGGGAAGGCTTCTTTAGCAAGTTCAAGGCTGTGAAAGCTTGCCCATTTCCATGTATAAATGAATCAAGCCCTTCAGCCATGGTGAACTTGCTCATATTATTGAGGTCTCAGAGAAAAGGGAATTTACTAAAATCCTCAAATGAAAGTGTTGCACAGCTAACGCAAAGTGAAGCGACTAATTGTGCTTTTCCCTAGTTTTAACTTGAAAATACGTTCCTCTTTGCAAGGGAGATGGTAGAACTGGGCAGTCTTCCAAAAAAGGGAAGACCATGAATTTCCAGTTGGTTCTCTTACTTGTTTGCCTTTCTGGCTATTTGTGTGTGCACATGCATAAGGGATGGCTTTCTTATGTTGAATTTTACGAGTAGATATTTTTTCCCCATTTCTGTTGATGCAATAAAGTGTTTACTAGTCGTAGTACCAGCTGCTTGTTTGTTTTGAATTCTGATTAAGGTTAAAGTGTAGAAAAAGGAGGAAATGTGAAATATGTTGAATTTACCTAATTCATAGTGTTCTGGAATGCATCTGGCTTACATAAATTTGTTGTGAATACAGATTTGTTGTGAATACAAATGTTTCACAATGCTTTATGTATCAGTACATCATTTTTAAGTTTTATTTTATCTTCAAAGAACCAGTGGATTGAGGTACTGAACCTATCAGATGTTGCAAAACTGAGTAAGGACATATGGTGAAAGTAACTTTAAATTTTTTATTATTTAGCAGAAAGTTTTAACTCCACTTTCATTAAAAATGGCCTCCTTGTTTGCTCAAGAAGTTCGCCTTTCCAAAAGACATGAAGAAATGTAAGTTCTTGCTTTTGCTTTCTTTTCATGATCATCTAACTATATGAATGATACTAGTTTTCTGGGTGAAGCACTGTGCACACAGGAAAATGTAAAAAAATCCTAGTTTTAATTTTTTTCTGACACTTCAGTTGATCCATTTTGTCCTCTGGGGATGTGACTGTATCTTCAAAATAAATATTTGAAACTGTGATTGTCGTACCTCTTACTTTTTATTCAAATTAAGATTCCTCATTAATACTTATGGATTGCTCTAAGTATGTTGGGCAGAGAGCTTGCTTCATAGATGTGTGGCCTGTCCTGTTACAGGCTCCCTGCTTAGAAGGACCAATACTTGGCTTAGTGCTCAACTGCCACATCTTTAGTTTTTGATCAAGGATATGTGAATGGCCTTTCTCCAAATTTTCAGTTTGCATTGGGGTCTGCGATTAATGAAGCCAGTCTTGTTAAGTTTAATAACACTTTCTGTCTCTACGTGGGTCCTCATGTTTCCTTTTTCTTTATTTAATTACTAGGTCCCCTTCCTTGACCTTCCAGAATGTTTAGTTCTACCTTTAAAAACAGTCATATGAGACGTGGTGTTTCTCAAGAGCCTCCATGTTTGTGTTAGACTGTTAAAAGGCTACATAGACTACATAAAATAATTTTATCATGTGACCTTTTTTTAAATGAATCCTTTAAGCAGGACCAAAATTTTTTAGAATATTTGAACTATGAGAAACATTTAAAATAACAAATTAATTTGACAATGACCTATGATATGTTTTACATCTTTTCTCAATTACTGTTTTACCTTGTTGTGAGTCTGCATACATGCACACAGTCCCTCTCTCATATCGCTAACCATCATCTTTCTCTTGGAAAAAGAAGAAAAATATTTTTATTGCTTCTTCAAACATATGGAAGTTTAGCACAATTCTAAATGTGTAACATGAGATTCAGGGGTACTGAAGTGTTAAGCAGAAGGTTTCGTATAGCAGTATAGCAAGTTATATCAATGTATATGTGTGGGGAGGTATATATAAGTATGTGTACAAAGGGATATGTATTACAGTTTGCATTTTCACCAAAAGTTAAAGCATATCTTCAACACTCTATAAACTCATTTCAGAAGACCAGAGAGGCTAAAAAAAATAGAAGCCTGTACTTATAGTATATATAAAGAATATGCAAATGAAAATAAAAATAATTTTACCCACATTGACTTAAGACTTACTGAACCTAGTCCATCTGAGTTTTTAACTGTCTTTTTAATTGATACAGTAATTTGCTTTATAAAGAAATTGAACTTTCAATTTTCAACTAAGGTACAATTAAGAAATTACCTTTTTTTTTTTTTTTATGGAGATGGAAATGTTTCTTTTTAACCTTGTTCTTGTTTTCCCTAGAGTATCACAAAGATTAACGTTACTTCAACAAATGGCGAATAAATTTGAAGAGCAAAACAAAGTAAAGGCATCTCAGATTCAAGCAGCCAAGGCTGCTTACAAAAGGAACCTTAGTCTATTAAATGTAAGTTTTCATGAGTTTGGTGTAGAGATTTGCCCAGCTTTCCAAAACATAAATTTCATAATTGTGATTTACATAATATTTTTTTCTTAAGTAATACAGTTAATGAAACAATATTTTTTTTAAGACTCATACTAGCTGGATGAATAACATAGAGATTTTTATTTGTGATATTAGGGGCTGGGGAGAGTCTACTAAGTTAAATGGTTTTAATTAACCAGAAACTCAATGGTTCCAGAAGGGATTTTAAAGTCTCCTTATGAAAGAATTAAGAAAGAGAATATGCTTATTTTTCCATCTTTTATTTGATGAATAGTCCTAAAAGAGCATGGCACTCTGGTGGCTTAGTGGTAAGGAATTACGCTGTCGATGCAGAGGTGTATGGTTCAAAAACCCCAGCTGCTCCAAGGGAGAGAAATGGTCATTCTCTTTCTATATGATTTACTACCTCTGAAAACCCACTGGATGATCTGCTATGGGTCAGTTCCAACTAGATGGTGTACAACAACTCTTAACTATTTAGCATTATAAAAATAAAGGCAGCATACTTTGCCCTTCAAAGGCCACAGTCAACACAGATAATTCAAATCTAAGACAGCGCATTTCCCAAATCCCTTTTGATGATGATGGAATAAGTGGTCAAAGTGTATGATCGTGTGGGGCTTTCTCATTTGGCCAGTATGCCCATTTGGAGTAGAATCATATGTGTAACATTTTTGGCTGCTTGCTATACTTTGCTTCCAGAATTGTATGGCTTCATCCATAATTAAAACCCTAAAGTTTGCTTCCATTCAAGCTTCCAAGAGATCCTAAGACTAAAACATTTGGTAGGAAGACTATATTATTTAAGTTATAAAGCGGTGTTTTCAGTTTTTTATTGTTAAATATTTTCATCGATAGGCATAATATAGTTATCTTCTCTCCTCACTCAAGAATAAAGGGAGAGGAAAATTCAGCAATCTTCTCAGCTTCTGGCAGTTTGATCCACAGTAATTTAAGTCACAGCCATAGTGCTACCAAAGCATTCTATATTGCCATATGTCTTACTTGCCCAATGGTGTTCATGATATTTATTTTTAAATGGAAATATATAGGGTAACTTGGAATTTGCCATGAAAAGTCAGAAAAACTAAATTAGAAAGCTTGATTGCTAGCTATCTGTGGCCAATGGTACTTGGCTCCCTTTTAATTAGCAAATATTTGATAAATGCCAGAAGGTCCTTACTGTTGAGCTAGCTCTGGGTAGGAAGTAGGGAGAACAAAGTAAGTTTAAATCAGCATCTTTCTATCTAGAAGCTTACTGGCTTAGTTCACAACTTAATATGACAAAATATGAGACTTTATGTGATCAAATGTTAAATAACATGGAATAGACTCAGTGCCCTAGGAACAAAAAGAAAAAGTTCTTTGAAGGCTAATGTATTCCGAGAGACCTCAGGGTCCAGACTTGAGCTGTCCTTGAATAGTCAGAAAGTAAGGCAGATATTCCATTGGATTCTTTCAAGATAGTCAAGACCAGAACAATGAGTGGTCTTGTTAATATCCATGGGACAATGGTAACTGAATTGAAACTTCACAGGGACAATTTTTAGAAATGTATTGTGGTGCCAGGCTAAGAAGCTGAGCCTCAGTATGTAGGAAGAGAGTCCTAACAATGCTGGAGGGAGCTCTGGTGGCATAGTCTGTATGGAGTTGCCCTGCTACACCAGAGGCAGCACCTCTCTCTCTGACAGTTCAAATCCACCAGAGACTCTTAAGGAAGAAAGACTGACATTCTCCTCCTGTGCAAGATATAGCCTCTGAAAACCCCCTGAAGGGTCAGCTGTGAGTTAGTTCCAGCTCAATGACAGTGAGTTGTGTTTGGTAAAGAATGAAAAAACAAAAACAAAGTCATTTATAAGAAATATATATATAAAGAAATATATCAGTTGTGTATGTGTGTGCATATACACACATGCATATTTTTAATATATATATATATATATGCATATTTTTATTATACACACACACATTTGAGAAGGAGAGACAATCTCCTCCCCTGTGATTTGATGTCTCTGAAAACCCCCTGGAGGGTCAGCTATGGGTCGGTTCCCACTCAATGGTACAACAATATATATTTATAATTAAAGAACATTCATTGGCAATTTAAATGGTAGATTCAAATGTAGAGAAGCATATTAAGAAAGGTGGCTAAGATATCATTGTCATATCCAGAGGGAAGATAATGAACCTGGTTTCATAGTTATGAGACATTTCAATGTAGAATAGAATGTTTTCCCTGATTATCAAAGTTATATTTTTTCCTTGTAAGAAATTTGATTGAAAGTAGGGTTGGCATCCACTTCCTAAACAACATGCCTCTGAAAACTCTATGAACTTTGATAAATGTCGATAGTTGTAGAGGAGCTTCAGGCCTTTTGTTCATAGGGTCGCTATGAGTCATGCTCGACTTAAAGACAATCAACAACAACAAGAAGAAATTTGAAGAGTAAAGATGTCTCAATAACACATTTTTTTATCTCCCCTCCCATCTAAAAATATGACATATTTCTGTTGATGATTTTAAATAAATGTTAATTGAGCACCTACTATGTGCTGTGCAAAGTGCTTGCTTCACCTCACCAGTCTTTTTTTAAATCCTTCAAAAATTAATATGTATATGCTATTTTTATCTTAATTTTTCATTACATTTTAAAAATAATTTTGAAGAGACACAACACCAGTGAACAACAAAACCCTATGAATCAAGTTCCACTCTGCATGGAGATGCTGAGTCAGAATCCACTTTTGTGGAACTTAACACTCATCACCACCAGTGTAAAAGGAATTTCATCAGCACATGGTTTTGGAATACCAAATTGGTAGATTTTTTGAAATATAGAGATTATATTGGATTAGATTAGGGTCAATCTAATATAAAAATTTTGATTCCGTTTTAGTGATACTTATAGAAGATTCTCATCTAAACCCTTCTCACTCCCATACCCCAACCTCATCTCTTCTAAGTATTCTTATTAGAATCTTAGAATTTTAAATATTTTTAATTTAGATTTGGGTGAGTCTATAGAGCAAATCAAATCATATGCATTTTACATCGTGTCATTTATTTCAAGCGCCACAGTGTTGCAGCACTCTTCCTGCTTCCTCCCTGTGTTTCCCCGATCCTTCTTCCCCGTCCCTTTGTGTCTCTGACCTTTGTCCCTGTCGAAATGCTGCCCTTCTGACTTTGAATGGCTGACTGTCTTAAGTAGTTAGTGCCTTTGATTTGTGTTGGCATAAACAGTATTGACTAGAGTATGGCCTTTGAAAAGAACAAATCTGTCTTGTAAGAAGTGCAACAAGGGTGCTCCTTGGAGGCAAGGAGGGTGAAACTTCATCTCGCGTATTTGGGCATGTTGTCAGCAGGGGTCAGTCCTTGGGAAAAGACAGTGGTGCTTGGAAAAGCAGAGGGTCAGCGAAAGAGAGAATGACAGTCATTTGATAAAGTGACTGCAATGATGGGCGTACATCGTGAGGACAAGGTTTTGATCTGTAGTTCATGGGGTCACTGAGTTGGAGTCAATTCAGCAGCACCTAACCACCACCTCCCATGTTAATTATTCATCTTATAGACCATCTGTTGTTTGGCTAAAGGTTGGGCCATGAGAGTGAGTTCATTTCATCTGTTATTTATCTCAAGTTTGGGCCATGGGGATGAGTTCAGTTCCAGGCTTGAAGGGTGGCTGAGGACCACAGCTTTGGAGGTTCTTTTTGTTTCTATCTGATCCATGAAACTGATCTCTTTTGAGTTTTATTTCATGTATGTCTCCACTCTATCCAAAATTTCACTCCATCTCCATACTCTCCTCTTCTGTGATCACTTTCAAAATGATCAGTCATGATAGCCCAGCATCATTTAGTTCTGAGCTCAGCACCATGGATACTGAGGCTTGATTGGTTCATTAGGCCTTTGGACTAATGTGTTCCATTTGTCTCAGATTTTCTTCACTCTTCTTTGCTCCAGATTTGGGAAGACCAATAGTTGCATCTTAGATGGCTGCTCACAAACATTAGCACCCAGGCAATGCTCAACATTTTCTTTGTGGGCTGTGTTGTGCCAGTTGATGTCCCAGTGACGTTCCTCAGACTGTGATCCTGATCTCCTAGGCCCAGGGACTGATTTTCTGAAGGCCTTTGGTTTTGTTTAAACAGTTTTCATCATTTTGGTCCCTTTTGTGCTCTCCTATATCTGTGGGTGGTAGTGATAGGCGTTGCAGTGCCAACCCAAGGGCAGGTGCTCACGTCCACATCATGGGAGAAAGATGGGCACTTTCCTCCCTTGCGATTTGTAGCCTCTGAAAACCTGCTAGAAGGTCAGCCATGAACTGGCTGTGACTTGACAGCATATAACAACAAGAACATAACTACACGGAGCTCTGGTGACATGACCCGGGAGGCGATTCTCTGCTGATTCAAATCCACCAGCAGCTCTTCTGGAGAATAAGGAGCCATCTCTTCCTGTCTGATTTAGAGCCGCTGAAAACCCACTGGAGGGTCAACTAGGAGTCAGTTCCAACTTGACCACAGTGAGAGAGGTGAGGGTAAATATCCAAGGAGAAATATCTACTGTTCTGCCTTTGTCTATACATGTGAGTGAAGTCCCTGTTCAGTGTGTGTGTCTAGCTATATAGGCTTCAAGGCTACTCTTAGTAGTCTCATTGCTGGATTGTGTATGGAGTAGTATTTACCTCTGTTGCCTTTCCATGTGCTCCTGCCAACCTTCCTTTGCCCCGATTATTTTGTGCTGACGACTTCTTTATTGTATATCGTCTGTTGTTTTCCTCGTCACTCATGTTCATATTTGTGTACACCAGGAAATTACCCTCCTTTCCACTTTTACCCCTGGCAAGTTTCAAAGAATGCTTTTGTTTATAAAACTTTTCTTGACTTTTTACAACAGTGATCTCATATAATATTTATTCTTTAGTGGTTAATGAATTTCAATAATGCACAGTTTTCCGGGT